GAGAGTCCTCCTGCTTCAAGCTGGAAGAAAAGGCTCCGGAGGAACCGGGGCTCCCGCTGTGGGAATTCCATTCCAGCAGGAAAAAGCGAGGTCAGGCTGTTTGCGGAATAATTCCGCGACTTAATGCCCGGCCTCGATTCAAATTCCCGAATCCTTCCCAGGCTCGTGCTCCTTTTCTTTCTATCTCCCCCCACTTCATTCAAGGCTTTGGAGGCAGAAATAATCGGTGTGTGCCAATTCCCCATTTCCTTTTCAAAACATTTTTCCCTCGGAAGCAATACAAGTGTCAAGGGGGGAAAAAAAAAAAAGAAAAAAAAAGAAAAAAAAAGAAAAAAAAAGGGCAGGAAAATCAAAGTGACAGATGGGAGCGGGAATGACGTCAGGGATGCAAAGCAGGACGCAAGAAGAAAAGGTGCTGGGATTCCTTCCTCGCGGGCAGGCGAAGGAAGGCTGAGCCTGAGGAGGGGATGAAGGACCTGCTCTTCCTCGTTACTCCGGAGCTGCACGGCGCCGATCCTTCCAGTTAATTGGGAAATAATTAAGGAGTAATTGAAAGGTGTTTTGATAAGGGTGTGAGGAAGGAGTTTTTTGCAGGAGCTGGGCCCAGCCTGCTCCGGTTGGGATGGGGTTGCTCCCACTGGGAGGATCCAGCTGTGCTCTTGTCACCGTGCTGAGGTGTCACCAAAAATGTGCCCGATTGTCCACCCGGGCCCAGCTGTGTCCTGCATCCCAGCAAACGCCGAGCCGGAGCTCGGGAATTCTGCTCCCTGATGGGTGGGCTGGCCTGGATGCTCCAGGGACAGAATTCCCCGAGGAGAAGGGATTGAACCCCACGCTGCAGCGGGTGAGGTGGGAAGGGCAAGGAAGTCACAGCACAGGGAGGAGGGCTGGGCATCACCTCCGATCCCAAAATCCCCAAAAATCCACGGGCTGGGAAGCAGCCTCTGCTCCACCCGTGCTTTTGGGGTCGGGGGACGGCCTGAGCCCGTCGGGAATTGCTTAATGGGTGTTCACAGATGGTCAGGAACGCTTTGGGGTGGAAGGACCTCACGGATGGACTCGGCTTCTCCCACAGCCAGAGCCCGTGGCAGGCTGAGGGTTGCAATGGAACATTCCAAGGAGCCATTTTAATGAGAATCCGAGTTCCCGGGCCGCCTCGGCTCCCGGGATCGCACATTTCCATCTGCAGCAAGCGCGCCTGGGGATAAAGATTAGATTCTACTTACCCGGGATGGACTCGGATGTCCTGCATTCCCCCAGGACCCTGAGCTAGTTCTGTCTTCTACATCTGTGGACAAAAAAGTTCTTTAGGCTTCGCGGAAATCATTGGCGCCTTTTGCGAGGGCACGGGGAAATTAACGGTTCCAATTAATCTCCCGGTGCCTTTAATTAAGAAGCGGGCGTGAGGAGCCGAGGCTCCAGAACTCATCGGAATTCAGCACGATTCCCCAGTTCCTGCTCCAGAGGAACAGAGGGAGTGACCACACGAAGAGCTCGGGTGGGACAGAGCTGAGGTGAAGTTCACCCTGTGGCCTTTGCCACCACCCAGAAGATCTGCACTTCTCGCTGGCTGCTCTGGGGTGCAGGGGATTTTTAGGATTAAGCCAGGGATGTCTATCCCAGCTTGCTCCAAAGCCCCGTGGCACTGGCCTGGAGAATTCTCTACGTGGGTTAAACCCATCCAGGTTCTAGGATCAGCTGGAGGAAGGGAGAAGGTCACGAGCAGGTGCTGAGACTGAATCTGGGCACTTCCAAAATTCCCAACCCGACACGTTCACGGGAGTTTCATCCTTTCCCCAATTAGGATTTCTATTCTCTGTGTAATAGATGAACACATTAATAGCACGAGACACTCGAAGGTAAATATTTAATTAAGCTCCGGGAAAAAAAAAAAAAAAAAAAAGAAACTGTGGATCATTTCCCTGACAGATCCGATCAACCATTCCATTAGGTTAATTAGGCAGATTTTTTAAAAAAATCAGTTGTGTTATGTAACAGGCAATTAAGTCGGGGAGCCCTGATCCATCTCCCACTCAGAACCACGGGATGCCATCCCAGGGTGTGATGGGCACAGCTCCTGAGCCAGCAGGAGCAGCAGGCTCCAGCCCTGGTGCCCACCCGGAGCGATCCTGGAAGGGAAGACACCCAAGAACCTGGGCCCAAAGGGATTTTTGGGGTGCTCCGAGCAGGGGCACGTCAGGGATGGGCACAGCCAGGATTTGAGCTGCATCTCCAGCACTTTTCTCCCAGGTTTTCCTGGGATTTCACCCGCAGAGCGCCAAGCGCTCCCGACCCTCTGCGAAGCATCAGCGAGGAGCTTTAATGAAGTAACCCTGACGGATAAATCCATTTCTTTCTCCCTAATCAGATCCAAGCGGGTTGACACAAGGCAGGAACCGAGTGCAATTATTGGCTGGTAATTAGCAAAAGGCCCTTGAGCTTCTCATTAAAGCAATACCTCGCCACGGCCAGAGTTGGCAATGCTCTAAAGAAAGAAGTGGAGGGACCTCAGGACATCTCACTGCACAGCTCCTGCCCAAAACACTTCCAGGATGGGCTGGAAATTCCAGGATTTGCAGGAATTGTCCAAAGCAGGACATCTCACTGCACAGCTCCTGCCCAAAACACTTCCAGGATGGGTTTGGAGGGACCTCAGGACATCTCACTGCACAGCTCCTGCCCAAAACACTTCCAGGATGGGCTGGAAATTCCAGGATTTGCAGGAATTGTCCAAAGCAAGCAGGGTGGGGCAGAGCCAAGATCCTTATCCCACTGCAGCAGGATAAACTTTGGGATTGCTGCTTCCCAAAACACCTTCAATTGGGCCTGCTAATCCCAATGGATTTCAACACGCCTGGTTGGTGGATCGAGACCTTTCCTGCTGTTCCGCTCTTCAAAAGAACTTGGATTTATCCGAGTCTTACGTTGAAAAACTACATGAAAAAACCAAGCTCGACAAAATACAGAAGAAGGATTAAAGAGGAAGATCAAGGGAAGAAGAAACCTGGATATTTGATAAGCTAAAGGACTGGAAAATTTAAAATGCACATCCATTGATCCCATCTTTTTTTGAAGGTTTTGCTCTAAATATCATCAGGACGACATGAGAAGAAAAGCCCAAAACAACAAGCAGGGAAGGATGAAGGCTTTGAATACTTGGAAATTTCCCTTCTGCAATTCCACAATTTTTTCCTCCAAATACCCACGGGAGAGTTGGGAGACCCCAGCTGAGAAAGGACAGCGATGTCAACAAAACCTGAAGTGTTCCCAGCACAGGATGGCATTGTGCTGCAGGGCTGAGCTCACCCTTGCCCACGCCATCCCAGGAGCCAGCACGGCTCTTTTCCTATTTTTTTCCTAATTTTTTCCTGTTTTCCAGGCCCTGCTCTCCCTGTTCTGCTGTGTCCCTGCTCCTCTCAGCCTCCCAAAGCGTGCATGGCTGAGAGGGTTCTTATTTCAACCTTTGCTTTGTTCCCTGGCCTTGGGTGGAAGGACATCCCCAACCCATCCCAAGGTTGAATCCAAAGCTCTCCTGGCCTCCACAGCTGCTCCTTACCCTTCCCTGGCCAGATTCTTGGCTCTTTTTGGGCACACCTCACACCGAGGAATGCTCTGGCACTTTGGAGCACCAGATTTTGGTGAGGAACCAAAATTTTGGAGGCTTTGAAGGCTTCTTCATCTCCTACCTCTGAGCTCTGCCCTTTACTGCTGCTGCCTTTCAACCTGTCCATATGCTCGACAGAAACTTCCAGAGCTCCAGCCTGCTTCCCAGAAGACAGCAGCTCCTTGCTGAGGGGCTCATTAAAACCTGAGATCCTGGGAAACCACCTGGAAGGGAAAGATGGAAACACTTCCATGGCTCAGCACCCCCACCCAGCAGCTCCTAATCAAGAGAGCACCTCTGTAATTCCAGCTGGGAAAGAGGCCCGGCATTCCGAGGTGGCTGCAGCACATCCTGTACTTTCTCAGCCGACGGGTCATTAAGAGCTAAATTATCCCACAAGTGTCTCGTGGAAGGAATAAATGACGGCCCTGCTGCACCACGGCAGGAGAAATTCAGCCACGTCTCCTGGAATGTGCTGCA